CAACAGACCTTCGTGGCGCCGGAGGGCAGAATGGCAGATAATCGACTTTGTCGTCAAGGGGGTTTTGGTCCAGGCGAGTTAAATGGTACCATAACGTTGACGTCGTCGTCGTATTTGCGTTGTCCGGCGACTGCACCGATTGAATTTGGGGTCGTCTTAGAATGGAAACGAAACAGTGCGAAATATGAGAGAAACTCGTGATTTTGGCTACAAATATCAGGGAAGGGGCAGATTGGGAAAGTGGTGTAGCCATGTGGGGAGAATTTTGTCATTTGGCAAGTAACGTTCACTTTGAAAAATGGGATACCTGCAGACCGATAACTGAGAGTTCACAGATGTGGCTCCCACCTCAGTCAAAGAAAGTGGTTGAAAATTTGTAAATAATGTAATTTTAACGTGGAGAAATGGGGCTCAAACAGGAGCTTAAAATGTTGAAAAGCTTTACTGAAAGATGAATATCATTACTTTTTTCTAATTATTAATAATTAAATTTAGTATCTTATGATTAAGATCCATTAATTCAAAGTTAGATATTCAAATACATACATAATACACACATTATCTGTATTTTATATATTGTATGTAACATTACTCCAATTTGTAACATATTTAAAAACGTGAAGTGATAAGTAATAAACAAGCGGTGTATAGATATACTTAAAGGAAAAGATTGAAATAAGTAACTCACTTTGCCTTTTCTTAGTTCGTCTTTATGATAACACATCTAACTTCGAAACGTCACGATTTTGATTTTTGAATCCATAAAGTGGAGTCTCATGTCAACTGTTGAAACAATTATGGTGATTGAGTGCCAATTTTTCAAAGATGCTATTCTCTATCGTGATAATCTTTATTGACCCTAAAATAGTGTTGGTTCAACATATCAAGTTACCTCTCCTTCCACCCGTATGTATCTACCTCTCAACCGACACAACAAGGGATGGTAGGGCGACCATATACACTATGTCACACCCATTTATTTATTGATTTATTATTTTTAACTACAATTAAGTTTAATAACATAAAATAAAATAAATAAGAATGTGGTGTTCTCTGTCCTTGCTAGTCGTCCTCGACTCGATTTACTAGCATCACAGGAAGGGGCGTGACATTTTGCCATCCATGGAGAAATATTTAGAGTTGGGCGAGAAAATCACACAAGGTGCAATTATAAGGACCCTAAAAATTCATTTTCAAAAATACATTTATAAATAAAATAATATTATACGTAAATGAAAAACTTTCCTTACTTTTCAACCACACATTCACAAAAATTTACTATTTCAAAATATATTTTTCCTAAAATTTCATGAAAATGAAGCCCAAAAAAGAGCTTAAAGAAAAAGGCACGAATAAGGCTTTGTGTTTGGGTTTCTTGTTCTTTCATTTAGCTTTTACGTTTTATGAAATTAGTGATGGATAAGTTGGTGGTATTTGTAAACTTATGAATTGTATAGTTAAAATTAATATATTGAATTTAAAAAGTAAAATCTTAAAAAATATATAATGAAACCCAAACAAAGGGCGAGGTGATATATTGGCATTTTTAAATTCAACATATATTTGAGAAATTTTTTTTATTTTTTTTATAGTTTTTCAATTAATGGCTGTCGTCCTCGACTCGATTTACTAGCATCACAGGAAGGGGCGTGACATTTTGCCATCCATGGAGAAATATTTAGAGTTGGGCGAGAAAATCACACAAGGTGCAATTATAAGGACCCTAAAAATTCATTTTCAAAAATACATTTATAAATAAAATAATATTATACGTAAATGAAAAACTTTCCTTACTTTTCAACCACACATTCACAAAAATTTACTATTTCAAAATATATTTTTCCTAAAATTTCATGAAAATGAAGCCCAAAAAAGAGCTTAAAGAAAAAGGCACGAATAAGGCTTTGTGTTTGGGTTTCTTGTTCTTTCATTTAGCTTTTACGTTTTATGAAATTAGTGATGGATAAGTTGGTGGTATTTGTAAACTTATGAATTGTATAGTTAAAATTAATATATTGAATTTAAAAAGTAAAATCTTAAAAAATATATAATGAAACCCAAACAAAGGGCGAGGTGATATATTGGCATTTTTAAATTCAACATATATTTGAGAAATTTTTTTTATTTTTTTTATAGTTTTTCAATTAATGGCTTCTTCTTGGAAAAGTTTCTAATGGACGAGAAAAAGTGAAGAGTTATTTCCTGTTCGAATCCATATATATATATATATTTAGAAAAATGTATTTTGAAATAATGATTTGATAGATACCGTGTAGTTAAAAATAAGAAAAATTTTGGGTTTGCGTATAATATTATTTTATTAAAGAAAAATATATTTTTGAAATAATGGGCACCAAACAAGGACATATAATCTTAAAAAAAATTGTTCTCAATAGATACATTGTTAAAAAAAACTAAACATGTACTTGAAACTTCAATGGATAATTATGACCATTAACCAAATCATATGGAAGATTTGAGATTAGATGAAAATGATAAAAATTAAAGATGGACATTCTTATAGATTTTGCGAAGATGATCCAAAATCTCAGGATCGACTACGAGGAGAGTGATATGTAAGAATGACGGTAGATGAGATATCACCTTCACATTTATAATCAATATCACATGCCATAACATTATCTATTGTCACGTTACAGTACTTTGTACTACTCCATCACTCTGTAATCTAGCTGGATTGTAATATGAATTCACTTATAGGACTCCACAACTATAGTGAAAAATGAGTATTAATTGATTAGTCATTTCTTGCGGGTCCATGTGTCATGGGTGCTTTCTTATAGCACAAAAGAGTACTGTCCGATAATAATATATTTTATTAGACGACATTCCACCTCCTCTACGATCAGTTATTGAAAAGGAAAAGCTCTCACGGACATGACGCAGTGATAAAGTACGTGAGTTCTCATGGAGTATTGGAGGTGAGTTCTCTATGGAGTATTGGAGGTTCGAATTCTCGCGGTTGCTTAAAGGCAATATTTATGTTGGAAGACAGATATCTCGTGGAAACAAAGTTGAGGGTGTTTGGGAGACATTTTTATGTAAAAATGCATTTTTGAATAGTAAATTGATGGAAAATGTATGGTTAAAAAATAATGAAATTTTTTTTATTTTTGTGTAATATTATTTTAACAAAGAATGTGTGGTTAAAAAGAAGAGAGAGAAAAATATATTTTAAAAAAATGTGTACCAAACAAGGTCATAGTATGTTTTATCGTCCTTTCAAGGTCTCGTCTGCACGTCGTAAAAGGGAGTTCACAAGAAGGAAAATCGCAACCCGAATGTCTGGCTTAAGTGTGTATAAGTTATGACTGCATCCGAAATGACCTAAGTGATGAACTAAAAGGGAATGCCGTCACTCCTTGGAATTAGTCGGACAAAACTCGAACATCTAAAAAAAAAAAAAAAAAAAAAAAAAGGAGGCAAGCTTTCGGGATGATTGGAAAGCATTAAAAATAATTTATTTATTGATTGGTGGAATCAATACACCAAAAAGCTTTATAGGAGACATGGATACCTACTACTCCTGTAATATCTCAAGTAATATAATTCTAAGTGACAGTGACAGATATTTAAACGTTGAAAAACCATAATAAGTATTTACATACATCAGGGTACATTTACATGCGAAAGAAAACTCTTACAATTGATAAAAACTATGAGTTAAAAGTAATATTTATAAAGTACGATTGAAATTAAGCAAATTGTGCCCAGGCGGTTATGAAATTATATTACAATTCTAATTTTTTTGGATCCCTTTCCCTGTTTTTTCTTTATTAAACGGCATGAATAAGCAATAATTGAATTTCTTTTACTCCTTAAATATCGAGAATCCCTTTTATATGGGATACTTTGAGACTTAGTTTCTCAATACTTTAGGGTTATTAATGCTTATCGAGAGACGAAATTGTGTAGATAGAAATATTTTGTTATATTATGATCTTTAAGGTTGATGATGATGCAAGTGGTTTTTCTAAAAAAATCAACCTTCGAATTTGTGTGTTGATAGTGAAAAGAAAATACACAAGATGTCGTGTGAAGCAATTTTTTTTAAAATAAGGACTAAATAAATATTTTAATTATGCGAATACTCTAAGGCCATGTTTGATTGGATATATTTTCCACTAAAATGTGGTGTTTGATTGCTAAATTTTTTAGGGAATCTAATTTCCACATTTTCCTCCATACATGTGCCTTTTCCTTGAAATGGTGGTTTTGGTGGGAATTTGGTTTTCTAGCTTTTGATTTTTGATTTTTGATTTTTTTTTGATTTTTGATTTTTGATTTATTATTATTATTTTTTTTTATTTTTATAAGTAATGGAAACAAAATCTATCAACAATTGTAAAAAAAAAAAAAAAAAAAATTATCCATTTAGTCGACAATTTTCATGAAAAGCAAAATCAAACGAACACCAAAAAATTCAAAATTTCAACATTCAAAATTTCAACATTTTTCAAGTGAAAAATTATACCAATTAAACAAAATAATTTATAATTTTTAGGAAAATAATTTTTAGCCAATTCAATTTTATGGAATTCATTTTCAATTTAATTCAATTCCATCTTTACAATCAAACAGACCCTAAAATTATTTTAATTCTAAAGGATTAAAATATAGTATAAATGCACCATTTCCATATATAATATGAAAACATCATTTTATTATTCTATGTTTCGTACTTCGTAGGTCTTAGAATCATTTTTTACTGTGAACCGCCACATGAAAAGTAAAATTAAAAGCCAACTCTTTTGTTAAATCCAACGGCCAACAATCTTCCTTTTTCCCATAGACATTATGTTTTTTAAATTTCCTTCGAGTTTAATTTTAATTTATTTTAATTTACTGTGAACCGCCACATGAAAATTACACATTGATTTAATTTTAATGGGATAACTTTGTCTAATTCCGCTACTTGAACTGACGAAAATAGATGACTTGGAAACCATAGCTGACGCCCTAATTTATTTTAATTAAATTGTATATATTTCATGCCAATAACTAACAATTACTCATAACAATCATAGTTTATTGCTTTTGACGTCATCTATTATCGTGGCTTAAAGTAGATGAAATTATTTTAATTAAAATTAAATTAAAGTATAATTACTTTATTGGAATCGAACTAAAGTGTAATATGACAGACGCTCGTTGAATTATTAAAATAATTGTATATCGCAAAACTCATCCAATCCAATCAACCCAAATCCAATGGACGGTTGAAAGTGAAACCACCCAGAATGGGTAGTTTTTATTTGTTTAATCTTAGGGGCGGGAAGGCGACAAACTGCCCTTTTTCCCCTTTATAGTATGCAAATCTATCTTCAAACACCACCATGGCCCCTAGTTTTCCTCATCCTACTATGCATATATATATCTCCTCCTCTGTTCTCCAATTTTTCTCAATCTAATCAACTATTTTATTCTGACTTTTCTTCCTCAGATTCCCATTATCTTGTTATCAGATCGGTAACCGAGAAAACCCAGAAAAAATATCTTCATAAACGACCCATTTTCCCTTGAATTTTCTCGATGACGGAAAGTTTGATGAACCAAATTAGGAGACCAGATGCAGTTGGGCATGTTGATAGGGTGATTAAGAAGAACAGATTCAAGAGAAAGGTGAGAATTGCGCTGAAGAGGCCTATGCCGAGGGTTTCGATGACTCTGCAGAGATTATTTGAATCGTGCCGAGAGGTTTTTAGAGGCCTTGGGACTGTTCCTTCTGCCCGTGATGTGAAGAAATTGTGCCATATTCTTGGTGAGCATTGCACGGTGTTTTCTATTATAATTATTTGTTGATTCTGCTCTTATTTTCCATTAATTTGAACTGGGAATGCTGTGAATTATTAGATTGACTGAAGTCTGGAACTGATTTTTTATTTGATTGGTATTGAGAAAAAAATTATTTATTTGATGTTTAGATGGTATGAAGCCAGAAGATGTTGGGCTAAGTATGAATTTGCAATTCTTTAAACCAAAGGATGTGGCTGAAGGGAGCTCAAGAGTTACTTTCACAACCATCTATCAATGTGAAAATTTCTCGGTAAGAATTCTTTTCGTTACGGCAAATTCCAACAATCTTAAACGAGAACTTTTAAGATCTTAGGCACATTCATGCCATAATCATTATTTATCTTTTCCAGCTATGCATTTTCTTTCTTCCTGCAACTGCTGTCATACCTCTCCACAACCATCCAGAGATGACTGTTTTCACCAAGCTTCTATTAGGGACAATGAACATTAAAGCGTACGACTGGGTCGATCCTCTCAATTCCGATAATCTAGCTTCACCTTCGAGACGTGAGTTATCTCTTCTACGCACTTCTCGCATCCTACTTGAATTTGCAGAATCTAACCTCGAGTGTGATTTGCAGCGAGACTGGCAAGAATGAAAGCGAACAGAGAATTCACTCCCCGATGCAATACTTCTGTACTATATCCCACTTCTGGAGGAAATATACACGAATTCACAGCAGTAACACCATGCGCCGTGCTTGATGTTATGGGACCTCCCTACTCTAAAGACGATGGCCGCGATTGCTCGTATTACAGAGACACTCCATGTGGTGGAGATGGTTATGGATGGTTAGAGGAGATTGAAATGCCCAACGAATCAGAAATGGATGGAATTGAGTATTTGGGGCCAAAAATTATCGACTTCACTACTTAGCTCTTTCGATATTGTATTCCTTCTAATAAATTTCGTTGATCTCCAGCCCATAGCCGGCAGGATAATAATTGTTCGCCACTAACGTGATGTCGCCACATCAATGGTCAAGCCATATTTCTTTGACTTTTCAAAAGAAAAAAAGTTTGACTTGCTAAGGCGGCATTGCCAAATCCGCAGGTGAGCATTATAAATCCTGCATACCGTGGGCAGGAGATCATTTCTGAATTTCCCTTTGTAAATTGATCAGTACCAGTATTTACATTTAATATGCATCATATTTTGACAATCTCAAAAAGTACACAACGGCCTGTCACTATTTCTTCATAGTTTCTCATATTAGTATGATAAGTGCAAAAAATAAGACAACTTTCTACACATTGCCCAACTCAAATGCAAAACTAAACAAAAGGGAAAGTTTAGCAAGAATTTGATATCAATCATACGATTTTGAATCCAGATAAGCCTCGAGACGCCTATACTTAATGGGGCTATCATACCACGTTGGGGTATTAAGTAGTTCACGTTCAAGCCAATATGAATCATCGTCCTCCTCCTTCTCTGTCAGCATCTCAAAAAACATCTTCCACTGATACATGGCACGCCTTAGACGGTAGCTCTTTTGTCCTCCAAACAGAAACTTGATATAGTCTCTAGCTAATACAGTGATATCCGCACCATCGATGATGTAAATGTACTGAACAAAGTTGAATTACCAGATGTGTCAACTTTAGGAATGAATAACAAAAAATTACGAGCACATTATAGATTAAGCTGGAAAATATTCCAATTTTCATAAATGACTGAAGTAATGATTTAGTGGATAATCTCATCCTAAATATGAAAAAACACTGCAAGTATTAGTACAAAGAGTAAACCATGTGGCTAAGTTGAATCAGACTTGAACTAAGTTTCAATTGGATGGACAATGTAAACAGGCTCGTGGGCTGTATTTTAGGTGCCATATATTTATGCACTTTCAAGCACATAGTGAGGGATAGATGGAAGGAAGAAAGTACCAGAAACACGAATCCAATAGTTGCCAATATTACTTGTACAAGCTCGTCCAACATCCCAGAAAGACTCTCATCTTCAGATTCACCAAAACCTTCACCACCACCACCTGGAGTTTTTCCACCATTGCCTCCATCATCATAATATTCTTGTTTCTGAATCTGCTGTTTCAATACGTCCTCAACTGATTGTTCCTTTTTCAAATTTCCCATGGCTTTCTCGAGAGATTTCCATGGAGAAGCCTGGTGCCATGTTAATAATAAGTGCTCATACATTATCCTAAAGAAATCAGTTCATAGGTTTCTTAATTTCATAATGGCAACAGAAGGAAATGGAATATGAAACAATTATTAAAAAAAACCACTTTAGCAAACATTAGGAAGTGAAAGATTCACTCTTAGTAAGGTTCTTATCAAGCATGTATACCCTGAAAAAAACAAGAACATTTGGAACAGGTGAACCAGCCTCGATATAAGAAACTGATCAATTAAAAGTTAAAAATGAACTCAATCATGTCTAGGCTAGACAGGAACTGATACTGAAACTTGTTTGTTCACAAAATTTAGTGGGCGAGAAGATTTACCTCAGTTAAACAATTTATAACGCAACAATAAGCTGAAAAATTTAAGTTGTCAAGATTCCTACTGCCAGCAGCAAAAGAGAGCTTTCAGATTCATTTCACTTTTGAACAATCAACAATAAACAGTACAGTATCAACCTCAAGACAATATTTACTGAACAAGGCCATGGATGGATCAGCAAACAAGAAGAAAGTGACACTGACATCTTTCTATATACATATGTATGCTCAACTCACCACAATAAAAGATTAGAGCAAACCCTGATGATAGACAAAAACTGAACCATACTTTTACACCTCTTCCCAGTTAATGTGGAGGTAGTCTTTTACATTCTGCAAGTTCTCTAAGTTGGATCAAGACATATTGTTATGTTTTTGGGCACACTACCAATCTCCAGTTCTTGTATTGCAATCAGACCACAGAGTGACACAGCAGCAATGCAATTGTAACAAACATTGGAAGTGAAAGGTTCACGCTTTATAAGGTTCCTAGCATATCATGTATACACAAAAAGGAGAAGGAAAACAAAGAAAAAAGGAAGAACAGTTGACATAGGGAAACCAGCCATAACCGAAGAAAAAGATCAATTAAAACAGAACTCAAGGATTCACCCATTCAATCATATCTAGGAAAAGGCTATAACAAAACAATATAAACATGCCAACTAATAGCCACATATTGAAGCAGCGATATTAGCAGAACACACTTCTCTAAAGACTGGATTCACGCTGTGATGTTGCAGAACTAACGGAAGAAAGGACCTTGAATAGGGACTTTTGTACTACAATAAGGTAAACTTCCTAATCAAGCAAATCACAGGAATCAGAACCATTTGCAAGCTAGGTCTCCAATTCAGCATTAGAACTAAAATCTGCATCAGCAATTGGCTGGTCTACATGTCATGACATGGTCAAGAAAAGAAGTATAGATTAACTTAAAACAAGAGACATTTTAGCCAGTTAGTTTGATAGCATAATAGAAAATCAAAGTCAACCAGAATGGTAACCGTTGAGGACTAATCAATGTAATCAGCCAAAATTTCATAGAATCAGTCCTGCAAACTTTAATTCCAAATCTCTCACAAAAACACATTATCTCTTATATAACAACTTAAAAATACTTGATAGACAAATAAAGAGAATCTCAAGGAGTCAGTTACCTCATTTTCACTCTTCCCTTTACTACCAAATAAACATATAGGTGCGGAGCGCTGGTGCCTAGATGTGGCAGAGGTCCGTTTCAGGGTAATCTTAAGAAGTTTTGTTCCTGGGTAAGTTGAAAACCATGTGGATTTCTTATTAAGCAGCAAAGCCTGTGCTCGAGATGCAGAGTTTAAACAAGGATGGCAGGCAGTGATATGCATACAATTCATCTGGGTGTCGCTCTGTATTGCACTTTCTACCAGTTATGGTGTTCTTGCTGTTAAAATTTGACTGCACATCCAACAGCATTGGAACTAGTTTAAGTTTGCGTCCATAAAATAGAAACCAAAGTCTCAACATAATTAAAATTGTAGAATCACTTTCAACCAGATGAAATTAATTGAACATTTTAAGATGCATTTTTCTGTCATTCATCACGCTCAACCACGAAGAGCACCAGTACCAACACTAACCATCAGCTATAATTAGCCAGCAAAAGACGGACGCAGCTAAACATTTAAATACTATCACAAGCTTACTAATTGGATAAGGTTAATTATAAAACTAGTGTATACCTAACATTTCAAACAGTCTCCCATTTGAAACTTTTTTAACATGAAATAAAAGATAACCATCTCAATTGATTAGGGATGTTTGAACACAAGGATTTTTCTCGTTTTCTTTACAATATAATGAGCCAATACAGACTGATCAACCAGCAGGCCTTGTACTCAGCTAAAAATCACTAGTTTTATTTGCTTTACATATTTTCTGGAGTGACACAAGAAGTCTTTTTTCCCTCAAGGATATACAAGTAATCAAAATCACACTGTAATGAGCTAAATCCAAAGAACAAAAAGATAGTGCAGGTACTCCATTGATGAATACAGCACAGAAATAGTAGAGCAGGGAACAAAAATTATAACGGCGAACCCATCGTTAAATTAAAATCAAGCTCTACACGATAAATCTGAAATTTGTTACCTTGATAACAACATGTAAATCCGACAATAGAGATAGATAAGCCTGCGCCTAAGGGGAAATTTGCACAGGAGAAATGAGGAGAGGGTGTCGCAGTGGTGGGGCTAGGGCTGCTCTGGTTTTGGTAAAATTGGAAATCGACAGAAATAATATTCAGTATTAGAAATGATCTAACAAGCACCATTACTCATTTTATGCCCCAAGTACGGAGGATGTGTTATGTTGATTTATTGATGGATAAACATTTTGTGAATTTTAATACTTGAATTAAATTTATTATTTATCAACGAATTAATATGACATATCACTGATACTCACTAAATACTTCCTAAACTTCTGTGGTTTCGTGCAGCCCAAATGTTTTTGGGGTTGCAAAAAAAATTGTTATACTTGATATTGTCGAATCCTATCTCGAATGGGATGAAGATTCTCCACCTAATTGAGTACACGGATGGAAATGGAAACAGGATGAAAAGGGACGAGATGGGACACGTTACCCTTTATTCCAAGGCAAGGCGGGTACAAAGAACATAATTCCTACCCATTATTCATCCCGTTTAAAATTTAGTTCAAAATACAATTTTTTCCTCACATATGAAAAAAAGAATCATCATTATTTTTAGAGAAAACATAATTTTTTTACAATTTGAAAAAAAAAATGATTTTCACCAAATAAAAATATTAAAAATGTAAAATAAAAATATGGAGCGTTAAACCCTACTCCGCCTTAGCCGGGTATTGAGTGGGGTAAAGAGACAAAAATACCCAAAGGACAAGAGGTGAAACTGACCATCCTAATCTCGGCCATCTCCATTGCCATTCCTATGTATTTCATTTTGATGTAATATTCTCAAATTAATCAAACATCGGATAACACAAACCGATCATCAATATCTATTAATTTTTCCTTCAAATTGTCTAGTGAATGTCAAAATCAATAAAACGTTCAAGTGTGTTTTTCTTCTCATCATCTCGCTATTTTACACAAGGCACCAAAATGCTGAAAATGTCCATACATTATATATGGAATTGATAGAGAAATAGGACATGAGCTAGATTTTCTTAAAACCTTGAAATTATAGTTTGGATTTTAAAGCTAGTTTTTTGTTTTACTATTAATTATATGATTGATATTTGATAGAGTCAATGTGAGTTATCCATAAGGTATTATTACCATTATCGTATTGGTTTATTGTATTAGATTTTTCATGTACTATATAATGAAGCGTTCTAATCTAATCTAAGTTTTAATTTTCTATTTTTGATAAGCTGATTTAAATTGGGATGTAGAACTTTGATGCAAGAGGAAGAAGATGATCAGGTCGTTTGTCCAAACGTTTGTATACAAATTGACATAGATTTCCAATGATTTTATGCAAATCGACCCTGCATTTGTAAAACTTTGTGCAAATTAACCCTAACCTATAGAATCCACAATAGAAAACAAAACAGAATATATATATATATATATATATATATATATATAAAGAAAAGAAAAACAAATATAATTTTCAACACTAGTATCCAAAACCAACAACCAAAAAAGAATTAAAAGAAGTCCACAACGATAACAACCATAACAATAATGAACGACAACTTCTCCTTGATTCTTCGATGTAAAAATTGAGGAAAGATTTTGAATTTTTTGGTGGATGATTGTGGTTTTTCTATTGAAGTGCCGATTCCTCTCCCATGTTGTTAAGTAGCATATCACACGTAATCTTCAGTAGAACGTCCAGAGACTTCTCATGTGTTCTCTATCTTTTTTTTGGTGGATTATTGAATTTTTTGAATCATTTTGGAGATTATGAGATGAAAAATCCTTGGACGTTTTATTGGTTTTGGCCTTCACAAGTCAGTTTAATGAAAAAAGTAATGGAAAGTAACGATATTGTTGTATGACGCAAAGGTTGTCTGATCTGAAAAATTTTGCACCAAAATGAAACATTATACAGTATTGCACAAAACTACTAAAAGTTAAGGCGGTATTTCGCTAATTACCCAAGTGAAATTTAACCTTGTTTGGTTTACCTAAATAACTTCTTAAAATCTAAATCAAATTCAATAATTAATTTTAATCATATATTTAATGGAATTCACGACTTTTTAACTACATGTTTCTTCAAATTTTGTCAAAATCTACTAAAAATATCCTTTTTTTTAAATTTTTTTTATTATTTTATTTTATTTTATTTTATCTAAACCAAACATTGGCTTAAAGAGTAGTTTTGTAGTTCCAAAGATGTTAGAATAATATAATATTTCTTATTCTTTTAAGTAAAAAGTTTTACTATTAATAAATTATTTCTTAGCTTATTGTCAAAAAGCAACTTAGATGGTGTTTGGTGGGGATTAAAATTGAATTTTTTAGTAGATTGTATTAGAAGTTTTAGAAATGTGTGGTTGAAAAGTTGTGAGATGCATGAAAGATGTAGTTAATGTTAATTGTTTGATTTTGACTTAGATTAAAATCAAATTTTAATCAGTACCAAATGGGTTCTTACTTATGCCCCTGTTTGGCCCCCATTACGTAGAAAAATTGATGGGTGGAATAGTATTTTTTTGAAAAATGAGTAGTTGAAAAAAAAGGAAAAAATTTCGATTTACGTATAATATTATTTTATGGAAGATTGTGTGGTTGAAAATAAGATAAAGAAAAATGAAATATAATGTAATGAAAATTAATGGGGCTCAAACGGGTGTATGAAAATTATTTTTAAAAAATATAATTAAAAATTAAGTATTTTTTAGGAACAACAACCTGAGTTTTTCATGTCGAATATTATGTTCATGGATATTGGATTGGGTTCACATTGATTTTTTTGCATAATCATGTTTTTTCACATATGCAGTTTTAAATTTTTAATCATTAAGAATAATCATAAGAAAATCACCATGACAATCCGTGCATAAACTAATTTGAAATAGATCAAGATATTAGTTAATCAATAAATTGATGACATATTAATTTATTCATTAATTAACAAAAATCAAAGTATTCTTCTTCTTCTTCCTTTTTTTTCCCCTCAAAATATTGAACTTTGTGATTATATGAATATTACCTAATTATCGAATTACGAATTATCATTATTCTATATATTTATTTAACCAAAGAAGTTCATGAATATAATAGTATGGTTAAATAGAAATCATAAATCTATCCATTTTTGCGACAATCTAAAATTACATTCAATGTATACTTAAATAATATACTCCATTAACATTAAGTCAAGCAAAATAAAGAAAAAACTATATTGTATTTAAGTAATAAAAACTAAAAACAACGTATAATATCACAAACGATAAAAGTAAATACAATGATTTTTCATCTCAAAGAAGTCAACAATGACGTACAAAATGTGTAAAGCATTGTGTGAGTACGACATAAAAAAATCTAACTTGCACCAGAATGCAATTGTAACAGTAGGTGGTATAAAAGTTTAACTTATACGTGAGCCAAGCAACAATATCAAATACGATCAAGAGGTCGTCAAAGTATCTATAGTCAATAATTTCAGGTTAAACTATTTATAATCATGGTTTACATCATGGTGCACAGTCCACTCATATGTTGTGGGGTCCACATCCACATGAATTAAAAAATTGTGGCCCCTGAAGCAAAGTCCATAATTTAAAAGGTGATGCCAAACAACATAAAATTTTCAGAACTAGGGAAGATTCGTTATGAGTATTTGTTCAATACCAAGAAAGTGAATAACTAATTATGGAGATCACAAAAAAGTTTCTGAATGTATAATTTCCATTTTTTCTCAAAGTTGGCTTGAGCGCTTCGAATCAAAATAAGGATTTTTGTGCAATCAAGGGTGTAAATAAAGGTAAAAATGTCAAAAAATGAAATGTATGGACGTTATGTGTTAATTATCCTTCATTATTAATTAGGGATTCAATATTTATTCATTTGGAGAAAGAATTTGATACGATAAATTTCATAGCAAATAATGATGAAATAAATATACATGTAAGAACTTGAGCTACTCGTTTTTAAGAACCATTTGAGATGGAAATTCAAGTTTTGATGTGGTATCGAAGCACATTAAATTTAAATGAGCAATTTGATCCAATTAAGGTTCAAATGAGCACACATGTTTCCCAAATCTTGAGGGATATGTTAAGGAATATATCCAATAACAATTAGTTACCAAAATATTAATCAATATATAAGGGTTTAAGCTACTGCTCTTAATGATATTGGCTTTATATAATAAGATGGAACCCCAAATTTTAATATAGTATTAAAGATCCTTTAAGCTCAAAAAAATAGTTTAATTCAACAAAGATTCAAACGACCAAGAATCTTGAATAAGCCATCGTCTTGTGAGAATAAGTTAATAGATAAATCTCACATCATATAACTGTAAAAATATGGGCCAACGTATAACAATTTATGTTAAACCTTTTACTAAGGTCGACCTTTTTCAGATGAAATCACAAGCTTAATAATACATGGTGTTAAATAATAGAAAAATGCTTTATTTTGATCAAGTGTTGTTTCGTAATACAAATAGATGGTAATTAGTTCTCCAAGCAGCTCAATTACTTTATGACGGTTCAATTATTTTAAAATACCCATTGAATTTTGACCTGATGCGAAAACTATTAAGTTCAAGCTAATGGTATTTCTATGAGAATTCTACATTGATATGCTTATGGTTTTAACATTTATATAACATTCAAATGTTTTCATCCAAATTGTGCACAAATTCTCCATGTTTATCAGTGAGAGATCATAACTATCACTTGAGATAATTACTTGGTTTAATTTATTTTGTTAAAAGTGAGATTTAGAATATTGAAATAAATTTAATTTACCGTAATTCGGGATCATCAATTTTATAAAAGTGAGACTTTGAGTCCCCACATAACGAAAATAGTTAATTTTAGATACACGGCTTTCACATGATTTAAACCTTACGAGAAAATCACTTAATGTTTAACTTCAAGTCACTTGCAATTTTAAAGCTATGCTGATATTTTTTATTCCAGATTCACAAATTTATATAGGTTCGATACTTAAAATCTCAATAATTAAGGATCCAAAATCATATTATTTACAAAGTTGGAGAATCTAACATTATATTTATCTAAATTTTTTATATTTAAACGTGTTAACATATTAAGCCCT